CCCTATTGGATTCACCTTTCTTTCATGATGAAAACAAAATTCTGAATCTTCTCATTCTGTAGATAAAAGTTTGCTCAAGCAAGTATTCAATCAATTTAATGGAAGATTTTTAGTAGAGGGGTAGAGACGGAGGGCGTCTGGCCCCCCCTGCGTACAACCGTAATCGTGGTGGGGGGTGCGCGAAGCATGCCCCTGGTCTTTCGCACCTGGAAAGCCAATTCTCACCCTATTTGGCCCTCCCCATGTGTGTCCATAATATTATGGCTTGGGAACAAAATACCCACTTCTTGCCCTACGTGGCCCTCCCCACGCGACTGCGTAGTCATGATCTGGGTGGGGCCGCGCGCCCGCCAGCTTTGGGAACAGAGAGGCCACTTCTTGCCCTTTGTGGCCCCTCCCCCGAAATGATGTTTATGGCGGGGCCAAACGGCCCACTTCCTGCCCTATCCCGCCCTCCCCGCTCGTGCTCATGATCATGGCGGCCTGCTTCACTGGAGGCGGTACCTGATTGGCTCCATGGTGTTCCTCGGGACATGCACGGAAATGCTTATGGCCGTCGGGTTTTCGGCCTCGCTTCTTCTGCCGGATGCAGTCTTTTTTCGGGGCCGACACAAATTGAAATGATGATTTTGTCAAGTCATCCTTGACTTTTCTTTCCCCCCTTCTCTTTCTGGAGTGCGTGTCCGGTCATGTTCGCCAACACATAACCCCACAACGGATGCACGATTCTGCTAGACTTCCCGTAAACTTTTCACTCCCACACCTCGGCGTGATCTGAGTCACTAGGCACAGACGCTGCTTGGCCTTTTCTCTCTTTGTTTCGTCCCTTTTTTTTTTTTTTTTTCAATGTATTTATTTTTTTCCCCCGGCCCTTCCCCTTATCCCTTTGTGTGTGGAAGGGACGGAGATGGGACGGACTTTAGAGGTGTCAAATTTTGTGGGGGCAGCAGATACCGCGCACTGCCACTCGGGCGTAGGAACGGCACCGAGAAAAGCGGGTCTCCCAGGATCGAAGGTCCTGAGGGGACTTATTGAGAGCGGAAAGGGATGAGGTCCCGAGGGGGACATCGCCATTGGGGTCTGTTCAGTCAGCTTGCTGGAAAGGGACATGTGCAGGTCCCTTCGCGGATGGCTCAGTGAGCACCCTCCTGATGTTCCAAACAGTCGGTAGGTCGCGGTTCGGAGTCCCGTTTGCACTCTTATAGGGGHCTGCGTGCTTAGCAGCCCCCTTACAGTCGACGAAGGCGACGTTCCGGGCGTGGGTTTTGGGACCTTGTACTCGAGTTACGGGGGACTCTCTGCACACGCTTTGGGTGGTTTCCATTTTGCAAGGGATGGGCGAGTCGTTCTTTGGTGGTCGAGCGAACATTTTTGCGGCGCCGTTCGGGTCAATGGTTCTCTCTCTCGGAGGGCTTCTTTCACGACAGCTCGGTCGTTGTTGGCGGCTGTCGGGGCTTTCCTATGCCRTGGTGCCGGGTTGTGGATCGTTGCGTTCACCCTCGCTCATCGTCTTGCGATAATTGGCGCCTGATCGCCGACGGCGGTCCCGTTTGCGGTCGTTTGCAGGGTATGGAGGCGGAGGTGCCCGTCACCGGCTCTCAGCTTCGGCACCATCGTCCCGTAGGTTACGGGGAGAGCTGTTGCGGCTCTGTTGTGGTGTCTTCTTCGTGTCCGCACTCACAACGGCCCGTTCCGTTTGTGTTTAGGGGGTGTCACGACTTGGTGAGGACGCTCTGCGCTCTTCGCCGTCCGAGTGGTGCCATTGAGCGGTGGCGCAGGTGGCCTCGGCCATGCACGCGCTGCTTACCGTATGCGAGGGCGGAGACTTGTGGGATGCGTGATGCACCCTCCGACGGCGTCGCGAGGCTGGGCCCGTCATCCGCCCGACTTCTTGGAATGCGCGCTTGTGCCCGTCGTGTCTCCCATCCTGTGGTCTCGGTATGCTGCACACCGTGACGGATCGCGTTGCGTCGTGGTTCCGCTGCTCTTGGGTTGTGGGCTTCGAAGGCTTACTGTCCTCTGTCTCCTGGGTTTCGCCTGCGTCGAGTGCTGTTGGTGNTCCTCTGTCTCCTGGGTTTCGCCTGCGTCGAGTGCTGTTGGTGGTGCCCKCGGCAACCGGCGGGTGTGGGCCCAGGGGGGAGAGGGGTTGTGTTCCTTTTGCGCCCCCATGCACAGGTGGAGGCTTTCCGTTCGTCCGGGCGTGTTGGAAGCGTGGTGCATATGTTTCTCTCTTCACCCGCGTTTCTCGATGGAGAGATGGGGCTGTGTACTTCGCTGTCGGTACGTTTTGGGCGGGCGGTGGCATCCGGCTGTGGGCGGAAGCTGTCGGTGGTTCCTTAGCGCGCGCCGTTGTTCGGGTAGTGTGGTTTACTTGCGATCTCTGAGTGTGGTGTGGGCGGGTGCTGTTCGCAGCCAATCTCTTGGGCGGGTGTGGTAGGCTGTGTTGGATTGTGCGGTACCTTGCCGTTGGAGATGGCCTACGGAGGGAAGTTCACCTGCAATTCAAACAGCGAGACTTCGTGGCGTCTCGGCAGGTGATTGCACGTTCCACGATTGTTCGACGTTGTTTTGGTAGGCTGTCCGGCGTGACGTGTCTACGTGCGCCTCGGCCATCGCTCCTTGTGGCTGCTCGTCACACCCGCTACCTGGTTCATCGTGCCAGTAGTCATATGCTTGTCTCAAAGACTAAGCCATGCACGTATGAGTGTGAACACTTTGCACTGTGAAACTGCGAATGGCTCATTAAATCAGTTATCATTTATTTGGTGGTCTCCTTACCACTTGGATAACCGTGGTAATTCTAGASCTAATACGTGCAGCATATCCCGACTTCTGGAAGGGATGTATTTATTGGATAAAAGGCCGATCCGCGCTTGCCCGTTGTTGCGGCGAATCATGGTGACTTGTCGAATCGCATGGCCTTTGAGCCGGCGATGTTCCATTCAAATTTCTGCCCTATCAACTTTCGATGGTAGGATAGAGGCCTACCATGGTGGTAAGGGGTGACGGAGAATTAGGGTTCGATTCCGGAGAGGGAGCCTGAGAGATGGCTACCACATCCAAGGAAGGCAGCAGGCGCGAAAATTATCCAATCCTGACATAGGGAGGTAGTGACAATAAATAAAAATACTGGGTGGGCTCTTTCGAGTCCGGTAATTGGAATGAGAACAGTCGTAAACTCCTTGAACGAGGATCCATTGGAGGGAAAGTCTGGTGCCAGCAGCCGCGGTAATACCAGCTCCCATAGCGTATATTTAAGTTGTTGCAGTTAAAAAGCTCGTAGTTGGATTTTGGGTGGGAGGGGTTGGTCCACTCTTGCAGGCGTGTACCGACCCTTTCGCCTTTCTTGCCGGGTATGCGTTCCTTGCCTTTATTGGCTGGGATCCAGAGCCGGCGCTGTTACTTTGAAAAAATTAGAGTGTTCAAAGCAGGCCTATGCTCTGAACATATTAGCATGGAATAACGCGATAGGACTCTGGT